AATTTTACTTAAAAAGAGGAAGGCCTTGTAGCACTTTCGATAGATAACTTATTGAAATTTTTTATTTGGACAATTGAATGTTTACCAGAGGTTGTCGTTATGAAAGTCTGCTTTTCTCGACGATTAAATTTAAGGAAGCTTAAAAATGTGCCGCAAACCTTCATCTACGTAAAAAACATTGGAAAAATTCACGTTTAGGCAAATGCTTAAAAAACCTTAACTAGACAAAATTCAAAAACATCGAACCTGCCAGTTTGAATAACTGCTTGAACATACTAAAAACTGATAATTATTTACGGACATTTCAGACTCGCAGGACACATAGCAGACTATCGTCTAATCCGAAATTTTACGGACTAAAGATTATTCTGACAAACAGAGAGTGGCATGTTCACTTTAAGCTCTCAGCATGCGATCTTGTGAAGAATTTTATTTCTCTGACGCCGCTATCTACAAAATCAAATGCATCTTTGATAAATGCATCCATAACGAAGCAAAGCAAGCCTAATACAATGAAGACTTGTAAGGTTATTTTGAAAAGCCTTAACATGATTTGCTTAACTGCCATAATGTACGTTAAACTTGGAAGATTATCTAGTTTTTAAATGTTTTTATGCTTATTGCCAAGTTTTTGCATTGATACGCATTACGTTCATTCAGAAACCAAATTTCTTCGGGAGACATTATTTTGGTCGTTCTATTTCTGACCATTGTAATATTACCTTAACTACTTATTTTGCCTCCTAGTTTAACGTATGCCATTCATTTCCAGCCGGGAGTTTGAGTGGGGCTATATTGAACCGACTTCCAATTTATTGTGAAGTTAGGTGTTTTTCGTAAGTCATGTCGCCTACCAGCACCACAGACTGAAAGGCAGGAAACGTGCTAGTCCATTACCCAATTCGGCCAATTTATGGAAAAATAAGTGCGTTGAAAAAGGAAGAGGGCTACTTCAAACGCGCGTGGGTGAATATGCAGCATTGCTCTTACCTGGTACTGCTACTGCTTATGGGTTTGCGTGGGATTACCAAACGTCAGTCAAAAAAAATGAATCCAGCGATCGCGTTTATTTCTTGTAAAACTTAGGTATTGACAATACTTCGATAAGCTCTTTAGTCATTATTCATTGGTATCGAACAAATAAGTGCTAGGCTGTGCCGATATGAATATGCTTTTGTTTTGGACAACAGACAACATGTTTGACAATGGGGAGTGGTGAAACCTCAGTAAAATATTTTGAATTTAAGTAATCTTTTTTGTTATGTCATATCATTCCTCCGTCAGGAACTAGCTGCTGCCTCAAATAGATGACAAGACTCATAATATAGGCTTAAATTCACTAAAAACCTCATCTCAGCAGACAACCGCATAAAACATAACTATTAACCCTAAATCCCATTTCAAATAAAATTTAAATCCGAACTATATACTTAAATTAAAGCTGCATTAGTTGGAAAGTACAACTTTCCCAATTTTGCATTTCCTGGGAGGGAATTTTATTAACAACTTTGAATTTATTATAGGCTATTAGCTAAGTCAAAAGAGAGAGAATCTCCGAAGTAATCAAGCGAACTCATTCTGGAGGCGCGAGTTGAGGGGCTAATGTGACCAAATTTGTAGGTAAAAGACAGACGATATCCGACGACGAAAATAGAAAGTAGCCCACCAGCTTTTTTGAAAATAGCTCCCCAAAGATTTATTTTTAGTTCTCCTCTCGGCCTTTGTAAGGTAAACTGTCGCTGAGTATCAGACAGCGTGTGGCTCCATCGAGCTGTTCCTTCCAGTTGGCTCAAACCGCAGTGGGTGGTGGATCTCGTGAAATATTAACCGGAATTCTGAAGTCTGTTATCGATCGGCAAGAATTACTTGAAAATAGTTGGAGCATTAGGTTTCCTAGGGCATAATCCCTAGATATTCTGTTCACGCTAGGATGCCTATTTTTGGATTCGGCCCCTTTCCGGTCGACTGCGCAAACAGTTGTCAGTAAAAGAGGGACCACCTAAGTAGTGCCAATTTTTATCATTATTTTCTGATGCTCATTTATGTGCAGTTTACAACGAATAGCTCCCTGTGCAGTTTCCGTGATCGAAAAAAAGAACAAATATTGAAAATGAACGTCATAATGAGAAACTTTTTAAAAGTAAAAAGGATATTTTCAAATAACGTTGCATCGGTCACTTCATGAATGCCTCTTATGAAGTATACAGCGTATTTCACATCAACACCAGACATTTTGAGATTTCTACGGCATATTCCTAACAATATAAAGTGTCCGACTTTCCTTGGGTTGAAAGCATGCAACTTTTAGTTTACAAACCATAAGCGTACTTTTGAAGGCAGACCGGGATCGAAACAATCGCCCATTGATAAAGCTTTTAAGAACCATAAATACTCTCATTTGGAGTGCAGGTTTTGAAAAAGACTCAAGATGTCATTTAATAAACCTATTAAAGTAATATTTTTGCTAGTATTTTCCGTAAAAAAATATAGGACTTCATAGAGGTATCAGAGATCATTGAAACAATGCATACTGTTAAAGTGCTCACTTTTTACAGAGTATTTTCGCGAACACACTGAAAGGAACACATTGAAAGACGGGCACCCTGTCATAACTGAAATACTTTGTGATAATACTTCACGAAGATCAGTATTACGAAGTTGGATGACAGAGGTCAAATAATATAGCAGAATGACCAGCGGTTGCGTTCGCCCTCATCATTCTTAATATCCCCATGGAGATCACGCTGTCATCCTCTCTAGACGTGAGGACTCCGAGAAAAACATCAGTAGTGTAATTAGTCGAAGCAAAGATTAACTTTCTCAAGCTCAGCCACTTTCACCCTTCGGCACTGGGGTGAGAAATATAGTCTCCGCACTGCCAATATTTGGAGAAGGAGAGGTGGGCCAGGCAGAGAGGAATATCGTTCAGACAAATATAACCCACTGAATCTGCATGAGTTAGTGGAAATGATCCCGACAGTTTAACCGCCGTGGCCGGCGACGTCCACTGTGCGCTTCACAGCAGGATGAGAGCAAAAACGGTGACTTGCGCGTACATTAGTTTACAGTAAGGGCCAGCTTGCGCAGCATCTACCGCACTCCTCCTCCTCCTTCACTCCCATCTGAGCTCGGTGTCAAGACGTAGTCAACAAGACCGGACCCTCTTCTCCCCCACATCGACCCGGTATCATGACAGAGTCAAGAAGATCGGAGGCGAGAGAGGGCGCAGGTGGCTGACACGGCAAAAACCCGCACCTAAGTGTACCACCACACCCCTGGTCCATAACGTACACTGACCGGGACTTTATACACCCAGAAAATTGGAGGCCGGTACGGATCCCAGTTGGCACGCCGTGAGTCCGCAACTAGACCTGCCGCCAAACCCCAAGATTAACATTTATTATAGGTGCGTACTCACGATAACGCCTGACGGACTCTGTTGTGGCGAATCAACCTAGTGGTCCTTTTCAGGGGCACGAAAGATCCTATTTCTTCAATTAAACTCGAAATCGCAGGACTGTTGTGCAAATGGATTTAGACTGGTTTGTGACTGTACGACGAAAAAGGCCGAAGCATAGCCATGTTTGGATTCCTTGAACTAGTAGCGTTTGGGAAGAGTACTGTTTACTTAATGTACGGCAATACGATTTATGGTAGAAGCTGATAACTGGCCACACCATCCCCAACTTTGGGCATAAATCTACCCTGGTGCTAGAAAGGGTGTCATGGTTTACTTGCGCGAATCTGGATATCATATAGTTTGAGCAGGCAGGCGAACTGTGTGTGATCGAAACTGCCGGACTTAGAAGGCACATCAGTCAGTGAATTTGGTTGATGACGAAAATAATCAAGCCCAATAAAAGAAGTTGACTAAAATAACAGTATAACCTGATTGATAGCCCTTGTCTGAAAGCGTATTTTGAAGAAGGTAAAAGAAGTAAGAAGACAATAAAAAAAGCAAGGGCACTCTGAAGACTGCATTTTGCCTACTGTCAGAGCGCTTGAGACATATGACGCTTACCAGACTGAATGGCCATTTCTGGCTTATTAGCCGTCATCAGTCAGTCATACCCAACCCCGAAGTGTGGCAAACCCGAGGCTGGAACTCACGACCTGTTTGTTAGAAGTCCACGCCTCTAACCAGACTATCCATCGTAACCTGCTTTACAAGGTACAGTGGATGTGATAACAAACGGAATACTATATGTTTCACAAGAAAATCCCTATAGTCCACAATCCGCCAACGTCGCGTTCCACAAGCAGTGAAGAAATGTTTGTTCTTAAGACGATTGCATAGTTAGGTTTGTAAAGTAATGTTTGTTAATACAAAAATAGTTAGTGTTTGCTACAATTTAAAATCTCAAAAATGGCTTTGTTACAGGTCGCCTAAATACGGTTAACTTTAAGGATTCATACGCAGGGGGACGCAGGAAAGGTTTGTGAGGGTGGTTCAAATGTAGTGTTCGAGTCACAAGTCTTTGGCCGGTTAGCAAACATTGGCAATTTTTTGACAAGCATTTGTTTTCCAGCTGTAGGAAATGTCGGTTGTGCTTCGACCCTGATATCCTTATGCTGGCAGTTTAATTTCAAACGTGGCAATACTAAAGTACCTCGTCTGACGAACAAACTCTAAAAGATACCGGAACGCGGGTCTGTCCGGGAATTTTTGTATAGCTTACTCTTTGGCGAATCATATTTTTTTTTCTTTCTTGATTGGCTGCCACGTCCCCGGGGGGAAGTGACGAATCTGCCACGCATATGTGACTGAGTTGAATTTCTACACTTTCTCCAGTTTAACCCTGCGTCCAATCAGCGACTCGTGAGGATTTTGCCTTCCCTGCCATGTTGATGTCTGTATAATAGCCAAGCATCTGACGACAAACGACCTTCTGTTTTTGAAGCTGCTTGAAATTTCAGAACTTCTGCGAACTGAGAACGCCGGCAGGGAAAGCCTTGGAAACAAAAACCAAGGATGCTGATCATGGGACCTAGGCAGTAGTATGCAAAGTCCGCCTTTTGACGACAGCCAGATTGAGGATGCCGTGGTGAGGTACAGGAAGAAAAAACCTCCAAAAAATACAGTCTGTTGTGGTCCAGGGAAAAAGCGCTACCTCATATCCATACTGTGCATGTCCTGTCTTACGGTTGTGATCGGTATGCGCTCCGAAATGCTCGGGATTATTACAAATCTGAACAACACTCATAGCGGAAAACATGACAATGAGCACATCTTTGTTGATGAGACGGACGACTCGAAGTACGGAGTAGCACATCTGCCAAAGTCCATCTTTATTCAGGGTGCTGTTGTGAACTTTCCCACCGTTCAAGAAGTTGATCACATCGGCCCAGAAAAGGGGTCTCTTATCTTCAAACCATCACACCACAGACAGTTGCCTTGGACAGCTACAATAACAGAGGATCTGGTGGAGAATGCAGTTTTCTTTGCGTATCTGGTTGCTAGTCCTATTGGGGGCTACCTGACTGTGCGCCATGATTCTTCTCTACTGCTGGGTTGTTCTGTTGCAATGACCTGTGGCCTCAACCTCTTTCTTCCGTTGGCTGAAACAATCGGATCAAATATTGACGCCAAGCTGGCTATGATTATAATACTGCGGCTTCTTCAGGGCCTAGCTGAAGGTTGCCTCATTCCGGCTGTGTTTGGTGTTCTGCGATACTGGAGTCCGGAAACCGAACGGTCGACTCTTGTCTCCCTGACCGTAATTGGAGTCTCGCTAGGACCTCTGATAGGCCTACCTGTTTGTGTCGAGATTGAAAAAAAGTGGGGTTGGGGTGTGGTATTCTACATATATGCCAATTTGGGTTTAATATGGTGCATCTTTTGGTGGCGTCTAATAGACGAGAAACCGCACAAGGACAGAAATCTCTCCAAAGCCGAGCGTCGCTACCTCAGAACCAATATTTCACCCCAATTACTCTTTAATACCAACAATGTAAAGATTCCTTGGATGTCCATGTTCACCTCGAAACCCGTAATTGCTATATTTTTCACGTATGCCGCAGATGACTGGACTTTCCAAATCTCATCTGTTTGCATGCAAACTTTCTACCAACAGAGATACGACGCAGGCGTTGAAAAGACTATATTTCTCCTCTCCTTCCCGTTCCTATCGAGGTCTATTTTTGTTCCCATCGGTAAGAATGAAATGCGCTTTACACGCCACACATAGGAGAAAGCAGTTTCTCGTATTTACAAGCTTACCTTGATTCTACTGGTAACTTCGTCCATAGTCAAGAGGTTGCACTGCTGATGTTTGTTAGGATGCTGTTCACGCGTGCATGCACCTTGTCTGCGATGGCGTGCAAATTTTAAAAGCAGATCTATAAGGGTAAAACACTTGTCTCTTGCAGATATGCATGCAACAACGCGCTCCAGCTCACACTGTTGATTGTTATAATGCCTTAAACGAAGACATCGTATTTATAAAGACCCCAGTGGTAGTTTTATTGGAGATCGTGATTCTACTAGCATTTTTTAGGTGCGTGCTTGTGTGTCTACGTCTGGTTACTTTAAAACATTGAGAACTGGATGGGTGCTCCGAATGTTACTTCTCAGCGAATTAGCGGCCTGTCTGTCAACTTATAATACGACTAACAGGTGATGTGAACTATTTAACAGACAAATATTTGATTAAACAAGCACAATAACAGTCCCTTCATACAGTCAGACAGACTCATCATTTCTTAGATTTGCTCAGTCGATATCTTAAATCCTTAGGAACAGACGCAGTGAGTTACTGTGTATCGTGCGCACATTTTACTTGCTGACTTGTTCTGTATACCTCTCAAGAAATATGTTTTATATTAAAGGGCGTGTTACATGAGGACTAAGAATGGTTTCTTTAATAATGTTGTTAGGTTGAAAAATTGCCAATTCTGGGATTACTTGACTAGACTATTTCCAATTTTTGCAATTGGCCTCAAACACGTTCTGTGCCACCGAAGCAGCCAGCCGTCAGCCCATATGCTGTTTCAGCACCGACTCAGCCTTCTCATCTTTTTTCTAGGTGGCTTTTTGGCTGACATTATTCGACTGAAAACGTCTATATCCTGTACAACGCTGCGCAAAGTTTTCTCGGGCATTGGCTTTGGATTGAAAGGGATTTTCTTCGTTGTGCTTGGATTTGCCAAGGACGAAGTGCACGCTACTATCATCTTGTCCCTGGCATTGGGTAAGTATGCAGTGATTTAACTTAATCCTCTTCTAAAAATTACAAGAAACTGCATTGTCTGAGGCTGTAAAAGTTACCGCTCTCAACGGTATTTGCTGCATTTAACCTTATTAACATAGATAACGATGAGAGGGGTACCAGCGTCAGTCCAAAGGGTACAGTTGAATCTGTCAGGTAATGATAACGCTAATTTCGATTTTAGACCCGGACTTGCCTTAGCAGTTGTTATGACTAAAATATGCGCTAAAAGCTACTTGGTGAAGTGTTCGAATACTCAAGGGTTTTAGTATTTTGACGTACACCTGTTGATCCACCAAGTGGCATCTGTTCGCTCACTATGAATCCACGTTTTAAATAAGGGGGCTTCGGGGAGTCATTGGGCAATCTAAACGCCAAAATACAGCTTTGTAAAAAATGGCTTTCGTCACACTGAGCAAAAACCACAGTAGCAGCTAGTGTTGCGGCAGTGAAAGCATAATCATCTCGTGATTTGGTTAGAACTTGGATCTGAGGTTTTTTTATCATTCCGTTTCATGTCACACATTATTTTGCAATTAAAATATACAGCAAAATTAATACGTTTCGTGTATAAATATAGCATTCCTGGTAAACGCTTATGCTTTTTCCAGCGAACTTTGTTCCCCGTCAAGAAATTACTTTCTTAGCAGACTCACTCCAGCCTGGTGCGTAAAACTCTCCTAAGTACATCGAAGAATTCAAGATTACCTAGGAGTAGAGCTACCCGGATCTAATTGAGAAATGGAATATACTCCTCGGTCGTTGCTTTGGAGTTCAAAGCCTGAACAACCAGCTAAATGAAGAGAGTCTGAATACTCCGTATTGTCACCAAGAGGTCGTGGGTGCATGCCTAATCTGTAGAACTCCTAGCCCAATGGCTAGATTGGCGACAAGACGCGACCGTTGATCTAAGGTGCGTCCAGCCTGGGGTTGTATTTTGACTAGCTGACAATGGTGCCTGCATGAAAAATGTCATTTCAAGCTTCCCTGTCGTTCTCTGCGCTCCCTCTTCTAGGACCATGACGTTAGGAACCAGCTGGCAACGAAAAGTCACAGATGCTTTTGAAAAAAATAAATCTACATTGTTTTGAATGGAGTTGGACAGTGTTAAGCGTTCAGCAGCATACGGTTTCTCAGGAAATGTCTGTGAGACGTCCTGTTCAGGTATAAATGCGTAGCAAAATATTGGGGAAATGTGCTTTCTGTCCATTTTCAACAGCTGCGGACTTAGAGTAGTCTAACAACAAGTGATTCTTACAAATTAATACTTGAGACAACAAATCAGCTCAAGGAAACGTGGTTGGGTTAACGTGCATCATCAGACAGACTCAACTGGAAGCTTGCATTTTATGACTACCCATAATTTCGACCTGCGCGTTAGTCTTTGGATTTCCAATTAGTATTGTACAACCGACTTTTAAATCCTCGTTTTCGACTATGTGTACCGTATTACTCACAACAAGGTGTGTGCAGGGACATCCAGTTGCGCGGGAATTAGCTTATAGTGACAGTAGACTTGTGCTGCATCTACCGCACTCCATCCTTTCTCACCCTCATGAGCCCGGTGTCAGGTCATAGCTAAGAAAACCAGAGCCTGAATGGAATGCATCAGCTGATTAAGTTAATCTGCTTGCCTATGCGTACCACACGCCTCTGGTCCGCGCGCAAAGGACCGGGCTAAGTACAGTAGTGGAAGAAATAAAGGATTTATAGAAGAATCAAATTAAGTTACGCAAAAAAGTGTTGCAAAACTCTTAGCTTATTAAAAGCGCGATAACTAAATAAAGGTACAACCCCTAGGGAAAAGACTAAGAAGGGCATAATCCGGACGTTGGGAAACTTGCAATTGCATTATACGGGGTAACGCCTTTCGTGGACAGATAAAACCCAAAGAAAACGACAACTGTTAGTTAATAAAACGAGTTACTTGCAAAGTAGCGTCAATTCTGGACCTCGCAATTCTTCCTCACAAAGAAATAAAGTTGCGTAGGCTGGAACCGCAACGCTCCGTTAGATGATGTTTCGAGGTACCCTGTCTTTCTTCCTTTTCCCAGCACTTGAATTTGTTATCTTATAAAGGCTCCGAGTTAAAGACTCAGTAAGAGACAGCTAAAAGGCTGGAACTTGGGTGTTAGGTAAACTGACCGATGGAGACGTCACTTGGCAAGTTGCTGGAAGAGATTAAAGAAAGAGAGTGGGTGAAAGCTATGCGCATCTGACCGCGGGTTAATAGGAAGATGGAGCTAGAGGACACTGACGAAATAAACTGAGTCATTAAAGAGCGCCCTGGTATCGACCAGTCTCAAGTTTCTCGACCATGTGAGAGTGGATTAGCCTCAGAGATCTCAGACTTTGTCGTCTGGCGCGAATTGCTTGTATCCCTACGAAATGAAATATTTACGTTCGAGTACTCAGACCACGGGACGAGGTACTGAACATGTCCTTCTATGTCACCTGGTTTCTGGGTAAACAGTTTTGAGTCGGGAAATCATCGACGCGGCGAAAAACTGGAAGTCGACTTTGCAAGACCTACTAGTGGATTGAATCATTCCAAACACCACATAGTCTTTCAAAGCCGCTCAATGCAATTACAAAACCGCGAAACCTCATTTGGGCGTCGTTTGGAAAGGTCAGTCAGCTCAATAAAACCAAGTAAAACGCCGTTTTACTGGATTCTGAGTGGAATGTGGAAAACATGGTTTCTGTGATTTTGTTTGCAACTTCCAAATGATATTTTGTTCAAATCACAATCACGTGAGACCACTAGGTTATAGATCAGATGTGCGAACACAGCATATACGCCCAAATGATGTCGTCAACAGATCTAAGCGAAAAAGCAGGTCTACAGTAGGACCTCCAGTTTTGAGTGAAGAGATGGCAAATAACCAAATCTACCCAGCTGGGCAACGTTCAGCGCTCTTTACAATAGTCGGACTGCAACATAAAAACATGTCAGTAGCTTCAGGTAACATTTTGTACTAGACTGATCATATCGTACTAAAGGCTAATTAAAGATGTATAGTTGTTGTCGCTACTATTCCCATGTCGCATTAAATCATCACGCTGATTTGATGTGACATGCCTGGATGCGCGCGCCTCCTCTGACAAAGTAGCTAGATTTGTAGGTTCTTGGGTGACTGAGTCGCATATTTTCGCACCTACCTACTGCTCTTTCGCAACTTGAACATCTAACTGTCTACGATTGTCGTACATTTTATAAAAATAAAAACATTCTCTGCCGCTGGCGGTTCAATCGTTGCAGACGACGCGTGCCCCACGAAGAGGGCGCAGCGTCGATGACTCGCCCATGGACCTGTTTACAATGGGGTAGACTTGCGTGACAGCAAACACCCTCTACCCCCCCCCCGTCCTCAATCACCTTTTTTCCGGTGGCAAGACAACGTCAAGACGACCGATGGTGGGCTCAAGAGCAGCGACTAACAAATGCAGACGTCTTTGTCTGCACGTGCCAAGCGCGACCTGGCTTCCACTGCGTGTACCAGGCTACTGTTAATGACGGCTTGAACCTCACACAAGTGAGGATTCTGCAGCATGGCTCTAGGGCTCGAAGAAAACCGAGTTATCTCCTCCGTTGACAACCATCCGGACAATGACTCTTAGTGTGTCAGGTTTATTATACTGAAGTGGGGCTGGATCCCCTCCGGTAACGGCCACGCTCTCCCATGCATTAGTCGATGCCCGGGGCGACCAACCAGATGGCGATTGGGTTGGGCGCGGCCGCGGCGTAAAGGCTCATGCTTAAGGCGTTCCTATGAACTTTTTGTTACAAACAAACAGCTTTTTTATGGCTCGATGTTGCGGTAGCATATGGGTACACAAAACACTTACGCAGTGATCCATATGTTGCATGTCCATGCAGAAGTCTAAATTGCGTTGAAGGCCATGATTTCTGAAAACTGACAGCTTAACTACATCGATCGATTTGAGTTTCTTAAATCGAATTCAGGTATTTCTGTATTAAAGACCCTTTCTAAAAGCTCCTGAAAGGCTTTTCTCGAACATTGTGATTCGAAAAGCAATATCTCTTAGACGCACACAAAATATAAGTACAAATCTGATAGCTTGGGGTCAATTTACGTGTTACAAACTGCAGGCGTTCTTGAAACCTGTAGAAATTTGACGTCGAGCTGCGGAACATGACTTAATAGAGCGGGCAAACCCAGGTAATAATTGCCTGGGTAATTTTTAAATCAGTCCAGTAGCCAGCGAATTTAAATGAGAATTAACAATAGCAAATAAATCATCGGTCTTATTTTTCGTTTTTTTAATTTCCTGAGAAATTATCAACGAAGTTGGAGTAGTTCAGTGTCTATAGTCTCAGACCGAGAATTTTATACATGAATATTTGGGCCAAAGTCCATCAGCCACAGCGAGTAACCGCGTAATATTCATTAATTGCCGACAGGCAGCTAGTAGTATACTTTAGGGTAAGGTGACACAATACTAACAGCACAGGTACTAGCCAAAAGCCCATACACGCGTGTGTCGTCGATGGTTTACTGCTGCATGGCGCAGCTGCGAGGGATTCGACTCGTCAGTGGGTCCCCGCGTGTTTTTCTGGTAGATACCCCAATTTAGAAATTGTCACTTTTTAATTCCCTGAGAAATTATCTACGAAGTTGGAGTAGTTCAGTTTATTCAAGGTGTATAGGCTAAGGCCATGAGCTTTATACACGCGTGTATGGGCTTTTGGCCAGTACCTGTGCTGTTAGTATGGTATTCCCTTATTCAAAAATGTTATTTTTATTAATTAAAATCGAGGTGTAGTGGCACGCCTGGGTGCGGCTCCGGCCTTGCCGCCACCTGCACCCTCTCCCGCCCCCGGTCTTCTTGACTATGTCTTGACAGCGGGTTCAGGGAGGGATGAGAGAGTGCGGTTGATGCTGTGCCAGTATATTAGCACTTCAACTAATTCACTCGCAAGTCACCACGTCTGCCCTCACCTTGCTGTAGAGCACACGGTGAACATTGTCGGGAAAAGCGGCTGACTTAACAATTAGCAGCATAGAAATTTACGCCCAAAAGGCATCTGTTGCTTAAGAAAGCATAAATTCCTGATATCGTTTGCCCTAATTATCGTAAGTTTAAGGTTAGTACTTTTGCGTATTATGAGAAAAAGTCCCGTATCTGAAATGTGTGTGACCCTATGCTGTGCATGCATGCAATTGCTTTTTATCTCTGCCTGTTATTTGTTCCGGTTGACAGTTTTAACATAATTTACTGCATTTTCAGTGCTTGATGTGGGCATGAATAAGCAGAAGACAGAAAACTGAAATTAATTCTTGCGGTCCTAATGCAGCACAAAGTCTATTCGCTAAAATTGCTCTAAATCGACTTGATCTGGTTTCTGCAGAAGCCGTACTTTTTGCGATTCTCGCCATCGAGCCGTTGGCGATGTTTACAGTTTGTGGCAGGATAAATTTTAAATAAGCACAATGAGGCCAAGAGGATTGCCTAAATGCAGTTAGGCATCACTGCCGACGTCCAGATTTACTGGGAAAATATGATTAAAATTCACGTTGGTCTTCTTGAGGCAGACTGAAGTCCGGAAATCTGAACAGTACGCTGCCGGCCTCGGGGTTGTTTGCCCGCATCGACAGTTGAAACCTCAAAGATGAGGGATGCTGACTGAAAATGCCTGCAGGACAGTTCATTTGTCCAAGGTCTGACCTCCGTTTACTATAAGGGAACCACAGATGGGTCTTCACTTCCCAGACTCACGGACACGTTTTCTCCTCTGCCCTGATAAATTCGACTACTACCTTCTCCAAAACGACCGTTAAGTTAAAATCTGCAGTCACAAAGCAGTGAACATGAAGTTAAACGGCTGATACTATAGCTCAAATCTGTAACGTACATTGCAGGCGTAAAACATCTTTCTGTTTTTTTATAATTCGTCGTTAGTTTGCTTGTTCCCTGACAGTTTCACGCCAAAGGCGAGCACTTACAATCGGATCTGAGGTCATGCGTATGCATTAGAGCAACCTAAGTGTTGGTAATATATGTACTAGTACTCCTGACTCACAGTAAGTGCTCTCGCTACTAGAGGCCTATTTCCTAGGGCAACATACGTAAACAGTCTGGTATTTTCGTAGACAAGGCGTGAGAGTCGGTAGCAGTTGATATTGGACTATTTGAAGGTGCTTGTAATCCAAAGAAACGTACGGCCGGGGGACCTTTTCTTTTTATATCATCCAATCTGCGAGAAAGTTCTTACAACACCGACAAGGAAACTGTAGGAGAAGGGGAAACGGTTACGTTGAAGGGTATATGGATGCATGGATAACGCTTGACAAAACGGTTTCAAGATGACCAAAAGCCTAGCCTATTGAGAAGATGTAAAGGCTCTAACTTACAACCCCATTTAGGTGCACTTGACTAGAGTATATACTTTGTCTGTGGACCTAAAATGCATGCCTCCAAAGTACAAAATAAACCCTTTCATTAATTTAAAGCTCACTGATTATCATACCAGCACTGGATGCAGGAAAATCGACTGAAATTAGAGGATACGTTGCAAACTAATACTGAATAATTTGAGAAAACTTGTACATGGCTAGTGGGTTTCAGTGAAGAGATGTTGAAGGTGAATGGCTAAGAGGACGAGTAAATACGCATTTTAACTTTTTCGAAGAACAAAAGATTAAAAATCAAGGGAGTCAAGACTTTACTTGGAATAAGCACTTGCGAAATTCCATTACATAAACGTTTCGACTTATACCTCATTAATGAAATCAAAATGAGGTTTAAATAAAAGGACGATGGTTGCATAAGAGTTAGAGATAAACAGTTTCGTCAACGGCGCAGGCAGAAATGTTTCCGTTTCCATAAAGAATTGCTTAAGATGAATCATACCAGGAGATTTTCAACTGCTTACATTAAAGGGCCAATCTTCTTTAGAAGGAGCGATCCACAGACCGGAAAAAGAAGAGAAACGAGATATGTCAAGCACAACTGACTTTCTTCGGTTTGACATATAGCTGGAAGGGCAAATAACCAGGAACTTATCCTTTTCATCACTCTGCCCTATTCGCTCTTCGCATTCAATTACAACAAATTTGTCTGCTTCCAGCGATTTCGGTCTGGACAGCAGAACGATCTGACCCAAAGGGTGTCTTTCCTTTACAGTGCGTGACCGACCTCATGAAATGTTGGCTGAAATTCTTAAATGCGCTTTCGACTAGGAAGGATTAAAAAGGTGGCGTTTTAATATTAATTATCACAAATCATAATCCTATAGTATTTCAGACTGGCCAGGATGTCAGCTTTTGAATGCCCTCCTTTTTGACCTCCTACAGTAATCGTACTTGGTAAAAAATGACTACTTACGTAGCATGCATTTTTCACAATTATTTTGGATGGTCTTATAAATTCAAATATATTTTATAGAAACCGTGCACAAAAATGCTTTCTTTTACGTTTTTGGTAGAAAATCACATTTTATTCGTATTTTATATCCGAAGAAAGCGTACCTTTAGGTTTTGAAAACGGTTCCCAATTCCCGAATAATTTTGAACTTGATCGGTCGTTGCATTAGCGTTTAGCGATTTCATTCTACAAGCTGCATGCGTTCCGGTAAGGAAAATCATATATTTCTTTATGCATTTCGCAAGACACTACATAGAGTTCATGAAATTTTGCAATGATTACGGGCTATTTTGTACAGTTTAAGAATAACATCGGTAAACGGACACGTGTCATGCTGTGTATATGGACATCGCAAGGTCTTAAAAACCTCATAATTAGAAACTTTTTTAAAACCAAAACCTAACGTTCCCTCGAGCATAAAATATAAAAACAATGTGATTTTCTAGAAAAAAATAAAAGAAAGCATTTTATGTGCACGCTTTCTATAAAATATATTTGAATTTATAAGACCATCCAAAAGCAATGTGAAAAATGCATGTTACATATGTAGTCATTTTTTACCAAGTACGATTATTGTGAGAGTTCAAAAAGATAGGCACTCAAAAGCCGACATCCTGGCGAGTTGGAAATATTATAGAATTATGCGACATCTTAATAAATATTACAACGCCACCGGATTAATCCTTCCTAGTTGAAAACGCATTTAAAAATTTCGGCCAACACTTCCTGAGATCGGTCTCGCACACCATTTGCGTGCAGGAACGCAAGCTAAAAGTGACTTTGTTAGGCGCCAGACAGTAGGACAGTCCCTCCTAAGGTTGTGTTTATCCGCTGGTCGTCCGTGCTCTGGCAGTCACTTTAATTGGTTTAACCCTGTTGGAGCTCCGATTTGGGAAATTTAAAAAAAGAATTTCTTTCGTGGAGGTAAATTCAAGTTAAATTCAAATCTTCGGCAAGTAGACAGTCAAGTCTGGTCGTTCAAACTTAAAAAAGAACGCTCTCATGAAGGAGGTCTTCAATAAGCAAATGCTGGAGAATTTTGATCGCGTCTGATGTTAGATGTTATCCTGCCCATAAGCGTCATGTGTGGCAAACGCCTGAAATTTTGACTAAATGCTGAAATGCAGATGCGAAAATAAAATGCATTTATAAGCCCTTAGCATACTGATATTAACTCGAGAATCCTTTCCAGTAATTTGGCCAAATCGAGTTTGAAATAAAACTTATGTTAAGAAATAGTTTTTATGAATATACTGGTTTCCGATACACATATAAACCAAAGAGTATCTGTTATAGAAATGAATAAAATCCTAGTCTGAAATTTTTAAAATTGAATTGTTCCCTACATGACCAGAATTTACGCCCAACATTCTGATGTATACACTAAATATTAGAGCTTTAAATCAACTCGTAATAACTACTAACTTTTGCACGAAGGAGCCTGGAGCACTCCTGATTCTTTTAGGAGGATTTGCTCTCCTACAGTGGGTGATCAGTCCGAAGAAATGTTGGCCGATATTCTGAAAAGCGTTTTCGATTAGAATGGATCTCTCTAGAAGGGTTTATAATATTGCTCTTTATACGGTATGATCCTACAGTATTTCGGACTCTCCATGATTGCAGCTTTCGAAAACATATCTTTTAGACATCCTTTAGAAACCACAATAAACAAAATATGACTTCTTAAGTAACATGCATTATCCACGCTGATTCTCGATGCTCTTCTAAATTCAAATATATTTTATAGAAAACATATACAACATATGCTTTCCTTCACTCATTTGGTAAAACCTCGCATTGTCTTCACATTCCATACCCTAACAAGGTTATGATTTGGTTTTAAACAGTTTTTAGTTATGGGATTTTTACGACCGTGCAGTTTCCTTGCATACGACATCGCACACATGCGTTTACTAAATACTTTTTATGAAATGTACAACAAGGTCCACATACGCCGCAAAATTTTTTGAACTCCACATGGTATCTGCCTAAAGATATAGAGGAATATATGACTTTTCTTGCGCAGAAAGCATGTATCTGAAATTGCTAATCGATAATGCAATGGCTGATATGACTCAAGATTATTCGGCAATCGGTAAACTTTTTAAAACCTAAGTATACACTCTCTTCTGCTACAACGTATGAAGACAATGGGATTTTCTTCCAAAAGAGTAAAAAAAATCATATTTTGCGTACGTTTTCTTTAAAATCTATTTGAATTTATAAGACCAACCAAAGTCAATGTGAACAATGTATGCTACATAAGAAGTCATTTTTTACCAAGTGTGGTTTACACAGGATGGCGAAAAGATGTGTTTTAAAAAGCCACCATCCTGTCGAGTCCGAAGTGCTATAGGATAATGCCGCATGATGATCAAGATTACGACCCTATCTAAAAATCCTTCCTAATTAAAATCACATTTCAGAATTTCGGTCAACAGTTCATGAGATTGGTTATTCACTGTACCTAAGCAGTATAACAATGAATTTGCAACTATTATGGTGGCCACAAAAATTGATGGGAAAGGTACAAACTTGAAGATTGCTTATTTCTGGAGTTTTATTTACACAGGGCTCACGAAGGTTCTCAATAATAACTATCTCGTCACAATGTTGGTTTATTAACATTTATAATGTAAAGGCATAAAACCATGGGTAAGTAATTTCATTTGCTAATGGAAGTCATACTTAAGAATTCTCTTCGAGTTTTCAGACTTTTAACCTGCAGCTTAATCATAAGCGGGCACAAGAGGGGGCTATATCGCAGTTGGTAGGTAGGCCCCGTATTACAGGTGGCTGGTGTTTTTGTTTACTGGGGCTATTTTGTGGGGTTCCATAATCACACCTGACCCATTTGGCTTCCGTTTTACATTTTAGGTTAGGATTAGAGTACCATTTAATGGTTTCCGATTTTCGGGTTACGGTTAGGGTTTGAGCGTACGATTAGGTTTCAGTATTACGGTTAGTTTTTCCAGTTATGGCTTTGTATAAGGGCTACGGTTCCGTTTACGATTTTGGTTAGTGTTAGGGTTGCCAGTAAGGTTAACGGTTGACGTTTAAAGTTGAGGTTAGAGTCAGGGCTAAGGTCGCCATTCGCTACTCCATTCCTGGCTACCAACTGCAATCTAGCCCAAAGGGGTGATAAAAACAGCCCTGAAGAATTGTACATTATCGTTCAGACAAGATGAAGAAACTTATGAGACCTTAACAATATGATAATAATAACAATAACAATAACTACGACAAGATAAAGTCACCTTTGTGGATGAAAATTTTGCTTATTGATAATTTTTTTGACGAAAGTGTTGATTCTTTTTTGAAGGGTTCTCAGGGCTTGCCGTCGCCGGGTATGCCGTCAACGTCATTGAATTGGCCCCAAAATTTGCGGGTCTAATAATGGGTTTTGCTAACAGTCTAAGCACACTGACAGGTGAGTGCTGTTGCATTTGGACTTTTTAAAATTCTATCTACACTTCCAAATTTTGAAACTTGCCGCAGCCTTACTTTGTTCAGAATGCGTCAAAACGTTTCTTGGCAGTGACCATAAAACGTGCTAGAAGGCGAAATTATTACAGTCAGCTCGTCTAGTTGTCACCTGCTACGAACAACACGGGTCGAATTATTTATCAAAAATGAACTTATGCGCGTAAACACGGAGGATATTTTTAGACAGATTTCCAGACATAAAAGGACAACTAGGAAAGGTCAGCACTCACCGCTAGCTTTAAATCGTAATTATTTGATATTTTTCCATCCCGCACTAAATATGGCAACGCCGGAAACAGTAAAAGTTCTATGAAATGAATGCATAGAGTAAAAGGGACACACCTTCCCGTAAGATAACTCGGAGCTATTGGAAATAAAGGAAATTAGACACCAATTTTGAACGTAACCAATAAAATGCTACTGCAAATATTCTGACCGTTCATCATTTTAACTGAAGCAGTCAGTTGTTGTGAATATTGGCCTCAGTATTATGTACGACACTTGTTATCCCAAACAATGTTAGCATGTTTCAGATAAAACCGAGAATAGGAAAAATGCGTGAAATACAGTCAAATTGGGCCACATTTTAACGCAACTTATGCGCTCAACTTTTTTCGCCAGGTTATCTTAGGGGTGTTTGTTTTTGTAAGGTACGGTATTAAAAATTTTAAATGGTTGGCCCCTCAACAAAATCTTCCATTTAAAAATCTTTTACTGGTATTCTCAAGTAATACCCCAACAAGGGTAGTCATGTGCTTATTCAATGGCAAAGACTCACTGAAGTATTTGAAATAATCTCGAAAACTCGCCAGCTATAGGCGGTCCACTTTTGTCTCGGCACATCAGTATGTCAAAACAGAATTAAATACAAAATGTCTGCAATGTAAAATATGTCTACTGTTTCCTAAATTAGTGCGCGGCAGTGCCAATGATCAAAAGGGTTTCTGTTTAGACAGTACTGAAGGCACTCAAAAATATCCGTTATACTGTAACAGTTACTCCGTATAAGTATAACATTCCATGGCGACAGACGTAATTTACAATAAACAATGTGCGTATGAGATGACAAAATAACGTCTCTCTACTAAAGAAATCAGCATTAAGATTGCGTATCTTGATATTTTGGTATTTTTGCAATGATCTAACGCGTCTTTTTCTAGGCGACGCAAATACTTCGTCTTAATCTCAATTTTCGAATGCTCTTGGATTTGGCATTTCAGAAAAGCTTTCACATCTTAAAGTTTCTTTTGAGTGACCCATCAGCTTTACAGTGCAGCCGAAAATCATTAAACCATATTTTGCCAATGGTACGCTACAGCTTCCGTTTAAACGGGTTTTAGGAGGTTTCTCATCCGATGTAGGATGCCCTATTCCTTTTCTAAGTGATGACACATTACAGCACCACCACCGCCCTATTTAAATACGTTGAAATAATATTGCTTTGCGTTAGCGAAAAAAGCCGCTGATGGAACTCAGTCAAATTTGCATTTAGTCAGACATTTGTTTTCAAATTTGCAACTAGAAAAACAGTTGAGTGCAGAAGAGTGTTTTGACAGGCGCTTTACAAGCTTCAAAGCCGACAAATTTTGTCGCCGTGAGATTATAACTGAAGCGGAACCGACTAAGACGTGCTAGACGCGATTGAGCACGTTTAGACTGTCAAACTTTCACTTCCTCCATTGACTTGAACTTCCGTCTTCAGTTCTAAGGGTTGTTATTCTGTGTTTGAGAGGGAACTGTCGATTACGGGAAGTGTGTTAATAAGAATCGTATCAGGCATTTATTCCGTCATTTAACTCGCAGATATTTTGACTAGTAATCCCATGAAACAACCTGGTGCGCATTAATGATGATGCGATTAAGCTCCGTGGAAAAAGGCAATTGAGCTCTGCATCGCGATTGACCAGCGTCGTTTCTAGGAAAGTCCGAATGATTTATTCTTGCGATTCATGGTAAGCGAGTCTTTAACACTGATTGGAAACGTCGGCGTTAATTACTATAGTTATTTTGCATTAGTGGAAGTCGAGCGGATAAACACAGCCGAAATCTAAGTCACAAACGACAATTCGTATTTTGTGGTTTATTCACTTTTGCTACCCTGACTGTTATTTTATACTACCAGGCCTGTAAATTAGAGGATTAGCATTTCACAAGCCTAGTTTATAATTCTTTTAGTGTTGCATAGATGCTTGGAACACCCATGCCATCTCGATCTGCTTCTTTAAAATATAGACAATTTGTAGGCCGTCTCTCGGGCCGTCGTTGTCGGAAGAAGATAAATAAAATTTCTGCCAACTATTTGTCTAAATGTAGTGGGATAAAAAAAATCAGGAATAAGAAGAATGAACAGCCTACTGTAATTTTTAGGTTAGGTAGAATGTGTCCGGTCATGATTGCGTTGACTGTAAAGCCTAATTACCTTGTCAAAGTGGCGTGCAGAGAGGAGAAGGCACGTTAATGTAGTCGATTTTGATAACAAAGTGAACTGAAAATACCCAGATACAAGAGGGGGGTTGAAGCGCAGATTGGTACGTTGTCGGAGAGTAAGTAGTCATGTAGCTTTTATCCCTAATGATAAATTGCTGTTCCCTATCAGAATCGCTTGCGTCATTCATCTCAAACACAAAGGAGTTGACCAATGCCTAACTCCAAATGCCGGTTGAGGAGTCATGACAAGGCAAGTTTAGCGAGCCAGAGTAGAACTTGGAATAGTTTTCATTTCTGTCTACTCAGCGTTTGTGCACGCTGACTTGATTGTGCAGGACTAGAAGTGGCCGAACGTCCTCCATCGCAAGCACTTATCTGAAGCACGTCTTCATGATTACTCGAAAGCGGTAGTGTCTCAGTGGATACCGAACGATCGTTAGAATTTGGTCGCTTCACGGGCATTTCTTGTTGACATTTAACTTGCCGTCATTTTTGCATCTTTCCGAGGTACAATATTTCAGCTATAATAACCTGCTCTAATACCACCTCGATGACTTGCTTTGATGAAGACGTCTGTGCTTTTCCGATAACTGGTCCGAAAGATTTCGGGAAAATATATTTACCTGTCAAGGCTCATCTTGAATTAGTTTGAGCGCTGTTCTACTGGTCACTAAACCCTTTTCTCGTCAGCATTGTTGTTGCTTTTAAATTTTGTTTATCTGGAAACTAAAAAAAGCACCCTCATAAAACTTGCGCATTAACGACAGAGTTCCTGAAGGTGAAGTTGCTCAGAGGAATGCTTTCCTTGCTCTCAGCAGAAAGCCTGCACATGCATCTCATAATGATCGGCGTTTTTGATCTGATTTCTTCGCAGGATCAAACACTGTATCCGTGCTGTCACTTTGCTTAAACTGTAACTCTTTTAGACAGCCGATCACAGTCTAAGCAAGTGCCCATGAAAGTTTCTTCGAAAATTCTAACTGATGCCTTAATTAAAGAACATTGATTAGATGCCCAAGTAATTAACTGCTCCCTGCAGTGGACGGAGTATCGAGATTATCCTACGGCGGGTCTATTAAATCAAAGTCCCATGTTAAAACGGAACGCCACCACGCTGTCATGCAATTTGGATATAGCTGGTGGACTTACCACCCTCTGGCCTTTGATTAGCAGACAATTCTCTTGGCTGCCCTTCATTTCACTGCCTGACTGCAGAGACTTTGGGAAATACCTACCGGCTTAACCTTTTTTATTCTCTTCCCTCCCCCGCCCACAGGGATATTATCTACGGTACTTGCAACCGTTGTTGTCCACTATCTCAACGCAGGCGTTGGAAACGGGTGGATTTTTGCAATGTGCCTCGCAGCTGGCAGCCAACTGTTCGCCGCCTTCTTCTTTATCGCGTTTGCTTCAAGTCAGGAGCAGGCTTGGGCCAAAGAGGCTCCCAGTTCGCGGCAGCCCTCTTCACGCAGCCACGAGATAGAGACTGACCTTGAGGTGCAAGCAATGTCCATACCTTTGGAGTAAGTAATTTTGCCACAGTGGAGGAAAACGGACGGCACCAGAATGAAAAACACTATCTCGTTGACTGAACCAGACCTAGGGCAGATAATGCGGCCTCGGGTGCCCCTAACAAAGCGACATTCCTGACTAGGAGCCTGTTTGAATTTATTATTTACCGTTAAGATAAGATGCTTGTGTACAATGTCCTTTGAACGGTTTTGCAAAATTTTTATATTTAAATAAACATTTTTGAATTCCAGATGCATGGTTGGCAAATTTGGCATTTCCTAAATGCTCGAAAAATATCATGCTCAGTTAAAATGTGAAGAGACATGACTATTTGTAACAGGGCACTGGCAACTGGGGGGACATCTTAATCTAAGGAAAGTTAATTAGGCAATTTCACTTGGTCGTTTGTACGTAATCATGGGCTACAAGTCGGTAAAAACCCTCCTGTAAAGAAGATGAACTTGCGATCTCGGGGACAATACGTGTATTAGTTTGAGCTTTCGGTCTCTTAAGGGAGGCCGTCGTCAGAGGCTGTGAGAATGCGGCGTCAAATGAACAGTTTTTGTAGTCAGACAAAAAGGGGACAGTGGTGCGGGGGTTGGTGTCCGCGATAAGGAGTCCACGCCGTCTCACGGCAGCGTGACTGCGTGCACCCTTCTTTTTCTGACCACAAAAACTGCACATTTGACGCCGCATTCTCACAGTCTCTGACATATTGCCCCAGAGATCGCATGTTAATCTTCTCTAAAACACGAACCTGGGATTCGCATATTCCATTCCATTCTTAAACACCCTTCTATTCAAATAAGAACCGCAGATGACGCGTAGAGCAACCGCTCGCAAAAACTCCATTCCCTATCATATACTACACATTTTATGTTATCTTATATTCAAGTTAGAGTATCCGGCCACCTCTCTGACCCAAATCAAAGCAGTTTGACGCTACCGGCCGAAAATTACACACTGAGCTGTTGGCTATGTACAAAGCTGCACGCGAAAGTGCAGCTTTGTTTATGAAATATTAATTAGATTACTCTGCCAATGAAAATGCATAACCTAACGTCCGCAGGAGCCCAGACTCCTACAGATCTGCAGACAAGTGCATGAATACTTCATTGTGTCATTTAGCTGTGAGTCCTGTACTGATCTACAGGAGGCTGTCTCCCTACCTTGTGCGGAAAGACGATGGGTTGTTTCTTAAAGGGTTGGCTTAAATTAAAAGAAGGTTACATCACTAACAGACGTAAGGAATTTACATACTTACTGTCTAAGTTATTTCCAGTCACCGAGTGTCTTCCCAACTCGGCGAACAAAAAAGCAGCTTTTGCTTAGTTGCCAGATTTAAATGGGTGCGCGTTAAGCATACTGTATGTTTTGTAGGTCTCTCCATTTGACCAAGTTCACGACCCGCTTTTTTTACATTTTTGCATTTGAAAATTTATGTCCCGGAAGCCGACCGATAGAAGAGCTTGCAGAAAACGGCAATGACATATGGCATTCATTGAAGCTAAGTCAATAAACTAAGTGTACTGTAAATTGGTCACATTTCAATAGTCAGAGAATATTAAACTTTAATCTGCTCCTATATTTTCGTTCAAAATCCGACTGTCATTTGGACTCACGAGGGGGAGGGTCAGAAGGAAGTAATTGTTTCGGAAAACTGTAATGAGCTCTTGTCTATGATATCTGAAGCGGAAACATCAAAGGAATTAAAAAATGCAACTATGATCACCTAACAGACGCTGTGATGGCCCCAAAACCCCTTGGTAAACTGGGTTATTGGGAACAGAGCGCTATAGAACGTCGAAAGACGGAGGTAATTCTCAAAGTGGCCTAAATTGTGCTCATAATTCTTTGACATTTTCGGTTGTACAACTGAGGAACTTCCGGACAACATGCAATGCAATAGCATTGAGAAAGTGCCGACAAAGTCAAAGCGGAATGAGGTGGTCATTTCCGGTTTACTGGCCATCGTCAGCCAGTCGTATTCCATAGCAAATCATCGATGACTTAGGGTTTGATAGTCACCAATTTGAAATAAAAGTCCGTGCCACATTTGTTGACCACAGTTTGCTTTGCTAGCTAGGAACGCTTTCAATGTATGGTTGTCTAAACCCCGTGAGTGAACCTCCTCAAATGCAGTACTCAATCAAACAGGGAAATTTACTTCCAAGTTGCAGAAAATCCGCCAGTAGGTTCGTTATTAAGTAAACTGTAAGCTTCGCCGAACATTCCTGTTGTGAAGCAAATGGTAAGGGCCACTCTTGTAAACCAAACACTTTGTCTACAAATAATATTATAAATCAAACAGTTTACGTAAAATGTATGCAAATTCCAAGCAATACAGTTTGATGCCAAAAACAGACAGACGAACAACTGTTAAGCCTGTCGTAAGAACGCACTGCTTTTAGGTTCATCTTCTAATTGATTTTCAGGCCTGTTAGTTAGTGAACACGGAATAGTTTAAATATCTACATAGACTCATGATTTGTGTCTTTGTACCCTAATTGGGCAGACTTTGACACCTTGCAGCAGATAACATCTTTGGAAAAGCAAGGGTATTAAGAGTCAAAGAAAACAGCGGACGGCAAATGCCTGCCTACTCAACTTGCTTTAGAAATCTGATAAAACTGATAAGTCAATCCCACCGTCAGATAAACTATGTTAGGCCTTACGCCAGGCGCTCAAAGCAAGCTTAATTTTGTATAACTATTTGCAAACAGTGCTGAATTCTCAGCAAGTGGTTGTGGCATTTTCCGGAAAATACCCAATCTTAAATGGTGCAAGTAAGTGGAATTTTTGAAATTAAAACATGAAGAAAAAACATCTAAAGGCAATTTCTAAAATTCAGAAATGTACGAAAATTAGAATAATTAAGCTCACACTCCGAAACAGTGCTGGTTATCTGCCAATATCCAGCAAAATGTTGAGAGGCTCAGAAAAGCTGTTTACGCTCTCTGCTATCACACCCTTGGAGGGCTTTGACTGTCCTTATCAGTGAAGATTATTTGACTAAGCAGGATTGTGCACAAAATTCACAAATTCTAGGGTGGCATTACATAGCATGTTACCAAGTTAACAGACTTCTGTTTTTTTACTAAAACTGACTTAGAAAGATTGACCAGCATAAATATCAGCATAAATACCAGACTGTAATAAGTGCCACCAAAAGATTTACTGGAAAAACCTACCAATGGCATCTTTACTCTGATAATTCTGACTTTTTTTGCCAATAGCCTTATTAAAAAAACATGTATAAATAACAAAGTTTCCAGGCATGTAAAAGGCATCTCATTCCCAAAATAATAGTTCAGGATGATTTTCCAGAGAAAGTGTTCTACCACATATTACCATCTTGCAGTAACTAAGGGTCTATGTGTCTCTATCCCTGAGGCGTTAGACCACTTTCACTGTCAACTGGTTTAGGTTTAAATATTGAATGAAAGAAAATAAAGGAGTTAAACTCTCTAACGTTAGATGGCGAAAAGTGAACAGTAGCAGTAAACATTACCCAGTCGTTCTGTTGCGGCCTCTAATAGAAACCTTTTATTAAACCTTTCGGAGACGAAGCGTTTTCTATTCCGTCCCATGTCCTTTGGACAACATTCGATCCCTTTGGTCTTTTTCCTGTGGCCTCTCATTTACACCTCTTGCCGCGGCTGGAAAAACTTCGACAGTGTGAGCTTCTCCTTTTGTGTAAGACTTAGCGTGTCTCAATAAAGGGGAGAGGGGACGACAAAAACCCTAAATTCTGCCCCATGCGCTAACATAAGGCAAACATCCGTTCGGAACCGCTAAAATCAGTTTCTTATCAGAATTTAGCCGACTAAACCGAGGCTTCCCCTAGTACAATATTACTTAAGTATCAGGGTCACGACCATTAACGTTGTTATTCGAAATATTTGGAAGTTCACCTTGGATTATTCAACAGGGCGCTGAAAATGTTAAACATCACCGTTAAAAAGTTGAAAAATAGCTTTCCGGGAATGCGCTTAAATACGACAAGAGTGTCAAAACATGCTGACATTACTGGCGTCATAATATTTCGCAGCGACCTTTAACTGCCATGGTCATTGCATATTTATCAAATGAATGGTTACGCAGAAACAAAGCACTAGACGATCAAGTGAAATAGGCACATGAAAAATTATTATTTATGTATGCCTTATCACCTTTATCTTACTTAGAATCAGCGGTAGGCCTGAAGAGGATATTATCGTAGACTTGGCTGAACTGCAAACGGATTTTTGTCTAATGGTTTTCTGATATACAGGAGGGCATTAAAATGACCACTGATTGGATCTTCAAATGTGGACCAAATTTGGATGAAGAAAAAGGCATTTCAAGAAATGAGATTGAACTTTGTTGGACAGCACATGTTGTGTCTATGGGGGTAACTTTTGAGATGGTATCAGAGATTTCATAACAGAATTTACGTATCACTGTAGGGGTTAAGAGAAATTGTTCAGACAGACTGCTTTCACGCCCGGTCAATATCCTTTTGCTGACAGAGTTCAAATGATGCAGTACCTCGAAGACCACATCCCAGAAAAAGGGTCAATACCCACATATTACAGGCAGTTCTCACGAAATTTTATCCGTCCTATTCTATAAATTTTGTCCTCAGACAGGGTAAGTTTGAGACATCGTGCGTTTCCAGCTCATTTTTTTAAGAACGATTAATAGGATTTTAGAAAAACCTTGTAATTATTCACAGTTAAAGCATAGGGCGGGAAGTTGATGCCTTCTCATACAAGCTCCAGAGTCTCAAAAACCGCACCTTCAATTTTGGACGTGAATTAACTCCGTGAAATATCACATGCACCAAACAAATTACTCCTGATTCTGAGCACAGGCAATTCGCCCTACCATCCGGCAGTATGACGGCTAACATGTTATTAAATGAAACAAATGTCTGGGCTATAGTTCCAGTTAAGTCCATCGCGAGGCTAAATGACGGCAAAAAAATCGCCAATCAATTCCACATAGTCACTGTCGGTATCCCCCCCCCCCCC